GATGTGAACAGTGTTCCATTTCTGGCTAATGAGATGTAAGCATCTTTGTTGGGGTATGGGGGTTCCCAAGAAAGCTATGAAATAGGACTAAACTCAGCTAAAATATCTTTTGCCTTTCACTCTTTTTCTTCCTGCTTAGAGCACTGGTACAGTGCCACCAGAGAGACAAACGCTATAAGCTAAGTATGGCAGAACTGAGTGCTGTAAAGAGCATTGGTCCCTAATGACAGTATTAGGCCATCATGTCAGATCTCTACTACAGACTCCCAGACTTATTGTATGAGATCAATAAACCTCTCAACATTTATGTCCCCTATAAATCGTATTTTTGTTGTTTGCAGCCAAACATTTTCTTAACTAATATTATAATGTCCCCCCCCCCCGCCATGGAATCTACTGTTCTGATTCATTAACATTATGTGTCCAAAATCATGGTAGAGAAGGGACATTGAAAAGGGACATGGGGCATAAATAGTCTTGATAATTTCTTGGTAAGACTATTTATGACTATATTTAGTTAAATATAAACATTTTTGTTTTGGTAAGTCCACTAATGTCTGAATATCTGAAAGTATTAGAGGAGTTATATGGTAAGAAAGATAAGATTTATAGAAAAATCTAAGTTCAGAATTGTTAAATTATTTTTATTTGTCATATTATTTGGATGCCAGTATTACGTACCTTTAAACCTTTCTGTTTTATGTGATAGTTATTATCATATATGGTACCTTCTGCAATACCTAGCTATTTAGAAGTAATCGAAGTGACAAAATGCCATAATATATGGAGATGATGACAGGGCAAGGAGAAGGAATCAAAGATATAGTACCTGGTATTATTTCCTTTTAATTTGTTTGCTATTATTATTTACATTTTACCTTAAATAGGAGACAGGTTAATTAAATATCCAATTTTCCTATCTGTAAGACAAAGAAAAAACTTATGTTTGGCTTTCTCATTTCAAGATTTTTATCTTTCTTGGGATATATATTTTATAAAATGTATAATTTGGTTATTTGTATGTTTATGAAGTTTAAGGGTGGCTAAAAGGCTCACATTCTTCTAAGAGTAAAGTCTAAATTGGAAAATAGTAAAAGTTGCATACTCACAAAATTAGGCACATTCTAAATCATAGTATAACTACAACTTTAATTATGTCTCCTGAACATTCAGTAGAAAAGGGAAAATAACACTCAGAATCGCAGTAGATTTAGGAAGAGAGTTGGGAACAGAAGACAGTCTCCCTTTAGTTATGCTGCTTTTTTAAATTGTAGTGGTTTTTTATGTGCCTTCCAGCTTCTCCCCCACTGTGCCCTTCTTCTTCCCACAGGTCCCCAATCCCCAGATTTCTGTGCATCCTCTCTCATGCAAAGAAGGCTGGAAGACAAACTTCTGAAGCTAGAGGGTGATTACTAAAGGAGTTTGAAGTGAGTGCCATGAAAAGACCTAATTACTCTTAATGAGAATGGTATTTCTGTATGTTCCCACACTTGAATTTTGACCGCCTTTATTTAGATACCACCAGTTTCACATGCACTCATTTATGCGTGTTAATTCTATGCAGTTTTATTGCATGTATAGATTCATGTGACCACACCACAATCAATGCACAGGGCAGGTTTATCACAAGGATCCCTCCTGCTACCCTTTCAAAGCGACAGCCACTTTCTTTCTTCTCCTCCCACTACCTCCCTAACCCCAGAAACCACTAATTCTGTTCATCTCTATCATTTTGTCATTTCAAAAATGTTAAATAAATGGAAGAATGCACTATTTAACCTTATGAGATTGGCTTTTTCATTCCGTATTATTCCCCTGAGATGATTCCAGTTGTTGTGTGCATCGATAGTTTGTTCTTTTTATTACTTAGTAGTATTCTGTGTATGGATTACCACAGTTTAACTCTTCACCCATGTGGGTTGTTTCAAGTTTTTGGCTATTTGGAATAAAGCTACTATCAACATTTGTGTACATGTTTTTGTGTAAATGCTTTCATTTCTATGGGATGAAGAGTACAATTGCTGTGTTGTACAGTAAGTATTTGTTTGATTTGCAAGCCACTGCCGCACTTTTCCAGAGAGGCAGTTACCGTTTCACATTTCCAGGTGCAATGTATGAGTGATCCATTTTCTCCAAATCCTTGCCACCACCTGATGTTATCACTATTAAAAAAAAAACTTAGCTATTCTGGGAAGCTTGTACTGATATGTGCCTTTACCTAATGGCCAATGATGCTGAACATCTTTTGATATGGATATCTTAGTGAAATGTCCATGTCTTTGTCCCTAATTAGATTGTTTCTTATACAGTTGAGTTTTGAAAGCTCTTTATATGTTTTAGTTACAAGTACTTTGTTGGAAATGTCTTGCAAATATTCTTTTTTCCAGCCTATCACTTATCTTTCCATCATCCTCTCAGGTCTTTCACATAGTATACCTTTTTTTCTTTTTTAACTTTGATTAAGGTCAATTTGTCATTTTTTTCTGTTAAGAATCATGATTTGGTGTCAAGTGTAATATCTCTGCCTAGTTGTAGGTTCTGAAAATTTTATCCTGTTTTTCTTCTAAATATTTTATTGTTTTATATTGTGCATATAACTCCATATTCCATTTTAAGTAAATTTTCATACTTAGCGTAAGGTTAGATCAAGGCCTATGAATGTCCAGCTGCTCCAACACCATTTGCTGAAAGGCTGTTCTACTGAATTGTTTTTAAACCTTTGTCACCCATCAAAGGTGATTTAATATACTCACGAGAACAGTTTATTTTTACCCATTCCAATGCTCTTTTCTTTCTGAAGACCTCTGGATTCTATTTAATCTTCATTTTAGCAGGCAGTCCTGCTGTTCAGGTGTAGTATGAGGACTGGGTGGATGTGTTGGTTTAGTCTTCCATTGGGCCCTGCCATCACCACTCTGGCAAAAGTAGAGCACAGACTGCCTCTCATTGCAGTTGGGTGAGGTGGCAGTTCAGCTCCCCTTCTGGCCCTGCTGACATCCTCCTGGCAAAGGCAGGCACTGATTTGCACATCCTTTTTGCTTCCCAGTGGGACTGGAAGCTTACCTCCCCAATGGAACCTGATGACACAGGGGAGGTGACAAGGAAATGGAGTGCTGCCTAGGCCCGTGTCCTACCTCTTTGTTTCACCTTGTTGATACCCAGGTGGGAATGGAGGCTCAGATCCCTGCTGAACCCTGCTAACACCAGAGAGGGTATATTAGTTTCCAATGGAAACTATAAAAAATTTCCACAAATTTAGTGGCTTAAAAAAACAAATTTTTTGTCTCATAACTCTGGAGGCCAGAAGTCTGAAAGCAGGGCCACACTCCTTTTGAAAGTTCTAGGGGAGAATCCTTTTTCACTTCTTCCAGTTTCTGGTGGCTCCAAGTGTTCCTGGGCTGTGGCTGTAAAACTCCAGTCTCTACCTCTGCCTTCACATGGCTTTCTCCTCTTCTCCATGTCTCTATCCTCTATGTATCTCTTATAAGGACATTTGTTTTTGGATTTAGGGCCACCAGGATAATTCAGGGTGATCTCATCTTGAGATCTTTAATTATCTTTGCAAAGACCCTTTTTCCAAATTAGGTCACATTCACAAGTTCCAGGGATGTGACATGGACATTTTTTTTGGTGGGTCACTGTTCCCACTACACCCTGATGGAGGGTGGGGATGGAGGCTTAGCATCCTGCTGGGCCTTGGTGACTCCAGGGGTGGGACTAGGGGTGGGAGAGGGTAGTGAAGCTCCCTGGTCACTATTCTTTCTTTGCACTACCTAGTTACTATGGGTTGAATGTCCCTCTGCTTTTATGAATGGATTAATGTTACTATCACAGGAGTGGTTTTGTTATAAAAGTGAGGTCTCTCTTGCTCTTACCCTCATGTCATGTGATGCCCTCCACCATGTTATGATGTAGCAAGAAGGCCCTCACCAGATGTCGGTACCAGGCTCTTGGACTTCTCAGTCTCCAGAATTGTGAACGAAATACACTTCTTTTCTTTATAATTATTCAACCTGTGGTATTCTGTTATAGCCACAGAACATGGACTAAGACATTGGTTAAGTCTCGTTGCTGCCAGCTGGGGGTGGAAGCTGTCTTTGTCACTGGACTTCACTCATACTACCTATATTACCTCCTGCTTCTGCTGAGTGGAAGACAGAAAATCAGCTCCCTGCTTGGTCAGTCTACATCACCTGGAAGGGCAATCAGTGCTGCCTACATCTGCCAGGTAGAAGATGGGAGATTAGCTCCCTGCTCAACTTTGCAGACACCATAGGATAGGGGTGTGTCAGGGCACTCCCATCTGCTTCTGTGGGATGGGGGTGGGTAGGATGGAAAAGTATCTCCTTGCTCTGCCACACTGAAACCATGGGGGTGGCTTGTAGGTTGATGCTTGGCTGGCGTAGGGTGGGCATTACAAAAAAGGGTTTTTGTTCTGTTAGGCGCCTGGTCCTATGACTAGGAGGAGAAGGCTTTTCATGCATGCAGTTGTGTATGTGTGTGTGTATGTGTGTGTGTGTGTGTGTGTCTTTCCCACCTGGGATATGTGGGAGGCAATAAGGAAGCCCAGAGAACTCACTGAATGTCATTCCTTAAGTCCCAACGTCCATAGATAGCTTGCTGCATTCTTTCTACCTATGCTTGAGTTTTCCTATGCTTGTTTGTTGTGTTATGTGCAGGGTCTTTAAGTTTTAAGAGGAAAGACTTGGGAGGAATGGGCTATTGCATCTTGGCCACACCAGAAATTGTTAGATGACTCATTCCATTTAAAATTCTAAATGTCATTAGTCATACATTTTAGTGGAATTCTTTTCAATTTTTATGTTCATTTTTCCTACAATTCTCAATTTAAGCAGTAAGTGAAAGAAAAACAATTTAAAGCATATTTTAACCTTTAGTTAATGCTGAACTCTGACTGTATCTGCTTTCTTATTGGTTCTTATACAGAGGATTTTACAGGGACAAAACAAAAGATGAAAATATGCTAATAACACTTGTTATTTAACATCATTCTTATGTGAGATTAAAAACTGTATTTAATGCCATATTCTTGTACAACTATGAGTTCTTATTTTTATGAACTATCTTCAGCAATGTGTACAAGAATACTGTTTAGAATAGTTTAACAGTATTATTTATGCATGTTGACTTAGAAGTAAACTGCAATAACTACTACACATGATTTTATAGCAGAATGGCCTCATTTCTTCTTTTGGTATCATGAATGACTATTATGATGAAATCCACGTCCTGTTGGAGTTTTGTGTGCCTTTATTCCACCTTTTGCATTGAGGATGAAGTTTACTAAGTTGGAAGGCATGGTTTTTTCAATTATTGATGGGGACAATTTTCCTCTCATTTCTGTCTGGACAAACATCACTAGTTTGGAATATGCTGGGTTTCTGTAAGCAAAAGAAGAGTTAAAAAAAAGATAAGAAATTTTTAGATTTACCTACTGAATTTACAGGTTTTTGGAGAGCAGGATTCTTATTCACCATTGACATACTTAAAAATTGTACTTAAAAATATTAAGTGGCTAGAATATTGCTTAAAACCTTCAGTTTTAGGCACCCTTTCCTTTTTGTCATTTTACTGACTTTTAAAAATTCTAACAGTAATGTATGCTTATTATGAAAATTTAAACAATATAAATTTTTCATAATTAAAGAAAAATTTCCCTCCCTTATTTCCCTTATCCTGTTTCTCAGAGATAATCACTGTATATAGTTTTAATTGTTATCTTTTCAGGTGACTGTCTATATATATATGTGTATATATATACACACACACATATATACAAAGACAGCATACATCTGTACATAAATGAATATGTACCCCACATATATAAATAGAGTTTTATTTTTTTAATGGAGACATTTTTCTGCAACTAGTTTTATTTTTATCTTATGAACTTCCTTCTGTGTCTGTACATACAGATCTACTTAACTGTTTTTCATGGCTACAGACAGTATTTCTATTCTATTTAACAGTCCTTTTATTGACTATCATTTAGGTTGTTTCTCACTTTTGGCTACTGTAAGTAAAGCTGCAATAAAATATCTTTGTAATGTATCCATTTATGCCTTTTTTTTTTTTTTTTTTTTTTTTGAGACACAGTCTTACTCTGTTGCCCAGGCTGGAGTGCAGGGACGTGATTATAGTTCACTGTAGCCTCAAACTCCTGAGTTTAAGCGATTCTCCAGCCTCAGCTTTCTGAGTGGCTGGGACTACAGGCATGCCCAATCATGCCTGGCTAGATTTAAAATTTGTTTTAAAGAGACAGGGTCTCATTATGTTGCCAAGGCTAGTCTCAAGCTCCCGGCCTCAAGCGATCCTCTCACTTCGGCCTCCCAAAATGCTGGGATTTCTGGTGTGACCCACCTCACCCAGCCCCATTTACACTTTTATAAATACTTATAATTTCTAGGTCAAAGGTTTGTGCATTAAGCTTTTTGACATGTTAATTCCAAACTGCACTCTAAGTGGTATTTTATATTCTAGCCCACCGATCTTCACACTGGGGTAGGAAAGGATGAATACTTTTAAGAGAATTTTTCAAATCTCTAACTTCCATATGCATTTTTTCCTTAATCTGATGTGTAAATATGTCTCTGATGGAAATGTGGGCTTTTTCTTTCCTATCAGCCTGTTCAAAATCGCCCTTCTCTTGCTTTATACAACAAAGGCATACCTGTTATCCACACTAAATAGTACTATGGTGCTTTACCTTGGTATGTAAAAATCTTTGGAATGCTAAAGGGAAAATCTGAGTAGAAGCAGATTGAGAAAAAAATCTTTTCCAAGTCATGCCATTTTTTTTTTTTTCTTCAGTAAAACTGAAGGATCTAATTGAGCTGTCAGCTGACAGGTCTTTTTTTTTTCTTTTGAGACAGAGTCTTACGCTGTCACCCAGGCTGGAGTGCTGTGGCATGATCTGGGATCACTGCAAGCTCAGTCTCCCGGGTTCAAACGATTCTCCTACTTCAGCCTTTCGAGTAGCTGGGACTACAGGCATGCGCCACCATGCCTGGCTAATTTTTGTATTTTTGGTAGAGACGAGGTTTCACCATGTTGACCAGGCTGATCTTGAACTCCTGACCTCAGGTGATCCACGCACCTCAGCCTCCCAAAGTGCTGGGATTATAAGTGAGAGCCACCATGCCTGGCCAGGTCTTTTTTTAATGATAACTATTTTTTGATGATCGGTCACTACATAATTTATGGTATATAATTCATAAATTTTTATATAAAAATAAAATAAAAAATATTTTAATATAATTCTGAAATTTATTTTTATTAATTATTATTAAATCAGAAATTATTTAATTGACAGTGCTGGAATTATACTCTCCATTTTAACACATTTATGTTAATAAATTTTCTTCAGTTTTCTTAAAATGAAAGCACCAATAGACTTGATATTGAATGCTGTCTTATCAGTAATATACACCCACAGTTAAATGAAATGAGTGTAATGGTTAAAAGCGTGGACTCAGGAACTAGTCTGCCTTGGTTTGAAACTGAACTTTGCTATTACCTATATATAACCTTCAGATAGTTAATCTCTTTGGGCTTCCACTTTCTTTCCTGCCCAATGGGCACAGTCATACTACCTACTTTATGGGGTTACTTTGAAGATCAAATGAGTCAATATATGCAAATTGTTTATAACAGTGCCTAGCATATAGTAAGTGCTATTTCAGTTTTGCTAATAATAAAATATGTGTTTCTAATAACAGTTTGCACTATGTTTAATATTTATATATAAACATGTTTTTAATTTTGATCAATATGTAATGATAACTTAATCCAGAAGGCATATATATATTTGTAGTTGTTAGACAGTAGAGTTATGGGAAGTAAAACAAATTTTACAACTTTAAACACATGTCATTTTTGCAAAGAATTAGGATGACTATGAAATAATTCAAACCATAAAATCTATTAGAATAAAATTATATGAGGGGAAAAATAAAAATGTGAGTTCAAGGAGGAAAGGAATGATGTAAATTTTCTGACTGTTAAAAGTTGTATTTATTTTAAAGTGAATAATTTAATGGTGGGTTTCAAGTTACGGTATTTATAATCTACTGGATATGTTTATAAGGATGATATAACCATTTTTTTAAAAAAGTCAATGTTTAGCACATGCTGGGAATTGTACTTTTCATCAATGTAATTTACTTTTCATCAATGTAATCCCTATGAAAAATTTTAATGTCAACTTAAAAATGTGCAAGGGAGAATATGGTTTTATAAAATTTTCAAGGAAGACTACCGTTTCAACAAATAGCGTGAGTGTCCATTTTCTTATACTTTTCTCCATGCAAGGTTTAGACTATTTTTACAGTGCCTCAAATGGCTAGATTGAGAATAGAGTAGTTCCCTCTTATCCTCTGTTTCACTTTCTGCAGTTTCATTTACCTAAGGTCAACCCATTCCAGAAATAAGAAAAATTCATAAGCCTTAAATTGCACATTGTTCTGAGTAGTGTGATGAAATCTTACATCATCCTGCTCTGTCCCACCCAGGATGTGAAATCATCCCTTTACCAGCGTATTTAGGCTGTATAGGCCACCCACCCATTAGTCACTTAGTAGCCTCCTTGATTATGAGATCAAAAAACCATGGTGTATACATAGGGTTTGGTACTATTCATGGGTTTAGACATTTACTTGGGGTCATGGAACATATCTCCATGGATAAATGGGAACTACTGTCCTTTACTAGTAGTTTCTATGGTCTTAAATCCTTTTTTTTTTTTTGAGACAGAGTCTCGCTCTGTCGCCCAGGCTGGAGTGCAGTGGCCCGATCTCGGCTCACTGCAAGCTCTGCCTCCCGGGTTCACGCCATTCTCCTGCCTCAGCCTCCGAGTAGCTGGGACTACAGGCGCCCGCCACCACGCCCGGATAATTTTTTTTTTTTTTTTTGTATTTTTAGTAGAGACGGGGTTTCACCGTGTTCGCCAGGATGGTCTCGATCTCCTGATCTCCTGATCCGCCCGCCTCGGCCTCCCAAAGTGCTGGGATTACAGGCGTGAGCCACCGCGCCGGCTTTCTTTGTGTTTACAATGGCTTTACACACATAAGAAAGCCTTTCTAATATTTACTGGAGTGCACTTCTGCATTGACAAGGTGCAAGAAGGGGTCTTGGCCAGTGAAGCACGCTTTAAGGTGTAAAATTTTCCAACTATAGTCCGTGCCAGTGGTTGATTACCTTGCTGAATTGGTGTAATTACCCTTCATTTGTTTTGTTTTCTCCTGCTATGGAGAATAAAATCTTGGCCATAGATTCAAAATTGACAAATGGGTAGAAAGACCACGCATTGTTGTTATTATCTGTATCAACAATCCTGTACATTAACGTGAATAATTGTGAGGTTTTTTAGTTTTCCAATTCAGTAGAGGAAATGTTAAGGAATACAGGTCCAAAATTTAATTTCATTTGGGCTTCCTTCACATACATTTTTTTTCTTGTACTGAAACATTTATATCTAACCAATGCATCTGTTTTCATGTGCCAGTATCTTTTACTCAATAAAAAATCATTTAGCAAACATTAAAACTTAAGGAACTTATGAAATGATATACATTGAATTAGAGTATATGCTTTTACAAAATATGTATATTTTATGCTGCCATTTTATCCCAAGGCCACCTTTAGGCAGTGACTCATCTCTGATTTCTTCAGCTTTTCTTTTATCTGAATGTACCTACTGGATCTCATTTTGCAGGTATCTGCTCTTAGTAAGTAGTCCATTGGGAAGAATTCATTCAAAGTAAAGCATTCATTACTGATAAATGTGTGTTATAATTCTAGGAAAGTTTATTTTTAATTCATAAAAGTTCCTTAATAATTTACAGAAATGACTCTAATGGAGAAATAGAAAATATCAAGGAAGCTTAACTGTTGGGAAATGTTTGTGTGTGTTTGATTGTTCTCAGAAACCTCAGATCATACTTTATAGGGAAGTATCCATTCTGATTATACTTAAAATGAAAATGATTATATGAAGTTATTTTAAAAATCATATTTAGGGGCAGTTTTTTTTTTCCCCCAACAGAATATGCTGGTACGTATTTCTACTGATGAGCCAGGAATCTTGAACTAAATCACAAGTTGAACTAAAAAACCTGTTAAAATAAATAAGTGCAAATAACACTTACTCTTTCATTGGTGAACATACAAAGCCACAAGGATGGTTATAACCACGGATATAATTTGAAGATGGAGGATATTCTGGAAAATCCACGCTTTTAGCTAAGAGATTTTAAAAAATTAAAGATTTTTAAAAATTATTTTAGATTTTTTAAAATAAAATCTTTATTAAAAAGATTTTAAAAAATTATTTCACAAAGAGGAAAAATTATTTCCAGCAGCATATTTAAAAAAATATATAATATAGCATTTAAGTTGGTTAATAGCATTAACATTAGTTTTATATATGTGAATGTTTATTTGCACATATGAAGCCAAAATTGAGAAAATACCAGTATCAGCACTATTGTCCTCTTAAATTTTTTCCTGCTAGTATTTCTAAAGGTGCTGTCAACTTCTGTATACAAGAAAAATGGTTAAAAGTATCATTGAACTATTTTCTGAGATTTGAAGCAAAAGATGGCTCAAATCTCAGAAAATAGTTAACGCCTATAACTAACTTAAATCTCACTGGGTTTGAGTGAAGACCGTTAACTGGCTTTGGGTGAAAACTATTCTACTAGGGTCCTGGGTTCATAGATTTTTTTTGTTAATCGTGTTTTTTTTTAAGTAAAATATTTGAAGTGGTTAGATGGTCTGTCAAAAACGATATTTTAAAATGCTCCCTTCTGCAATTCCCTGTAACTAACTTCAAACTCTAACTGAAAATCAGTAGAGTTTATTTTAGAATTATGCAACATAGTATCTGTATTCTATGTGAATGCAGAGGGGGTTGGTTTATGATTTAATTTATGATAATATATATATACTCTTTCTAAAAATATTTTAAAACATATATGTGTTTATTCTGTGCAACTGAATCCTGCTCTTATCAGAGAAGATGGATTTTCTGATATGATTTTAACATAAGCAAATCAATTCCATGGGAAATACAATGTAAAACACTAACTTGGAGACTAGAGTTGTTGAATAAATTTTCCATTTTTATGACTTATATCATTATCTTGACAGAGCCTATAATAGTACTGCCAGAAGTGATGTTATTATAAAAGATTTTTTCTCTGTTTGAAATATGGAAATTCTGCTTGTCTTCTTTAAAAAAAATCTGTTGTAGTCTACAAACAGGTATGGGTCTTTTATGAAGCATATGGTGTGGTAGTTAGCACTTATTTTGGAAAATCAGAAAGAACTGAGTTTTAATTCTGGGTTAGCTGCTTATTAGCTATGTAACTTAATTTCTTAACTGCTTAATTTCCATGAACTTCAGTTTCCTCACTAGTGAGATAATGCAAGCAAAAATATTTAGCTTATAGCAAGGTACAGGGTAGGATAAAAAAAAGAAATGTTAAGAAAACTATGAGTACTGATCGAAAATTCATTCAATGGAAACTTTTAAAGCAAATTCAATAGTGATTTGTGCACCAAATCACTATCAACTAGAGGTTGATTACCTCTAGTTGTTGATTTTAATCTCTACTTCTTTTTTAGCTTCCCTCTGATCACTAATAATTACATAGAAATGGTCTGCTTTCAAAATGTGGAAAATAACAGATGTATGATCTGTTTAGACAGACTATTTTATGTTGTAGGCCATGAATACATTATATGTGCCCTCATTTCAAAAATGAGACAACTAAACATATATGAACATTATGAACATCAGCCCTTAGTGGCATGCTGAAGAAAGAGCTAACTGGGTTTGAATGAGTGCTACGACGCAGTCTGGACTCTGAAAAGTAGAGTACTAAAGATATCTCGAAGGAACTGAAATCTTGCTGGGAAATAATAATTAACAAAATGTAATTGTCCTTGGTCCCAAGTAGGAATAGTGAAATTAATTCAAATTATAGAGAAAAACGGGCTCTATGCCACTGTGCTACCAAAGTTCCTTCACCATGAGTTATCTTAAGTTATCTGAGTCCATAGATCCTCATGGTATGGAATGGTATGTTTTGATCAATAATGCAAGTTAGAAAATTACACATTTGCATTTTACAGAGTGACACATTTGGGAGTGGGGATAGGTATATATCAAAATCTGCAGTTTCTAAAAGAAATAAAAGCACATTTATGTAAAGAGCCATCTAGTGGAAATTTCTTTAACAGTTTTATCAGTTACTGGATATGCTCATTATAAGCAATTCAAATACAAAATCATATCTAACAATTAATTTTGTTTCTTCGGATTTTAAAAACGTATACTTGAAGTTTTAGGCTACAAGTATCTATCTATATTCACTGCTACATGATATATGCTACAAAAGTCTAAGAGATGTTGTAAACATTGACCATTATATAAATGGCACCTTCGGAGTGTCACAGGCATATCTACATGATACGTGTACTTGGTGATCCTACTGAGTAAACTTAAAAAGGAAATAATTATAAATATAATTTATTTGAAGCTGTGAATAAAGGGAAAACATTTATTAATGGTTCATAGTAATTCCAAGATATGGGCAAAACGCTTCAACTTACAACTGATAATGTTCATATTTCCTTCGTAGCGCTTGATGTACACTAAGTCGATAAAGTCTCGAGGGGAAATGGAGCCCATGGCAAAACTTTGTGTAATGGTATGACATATGAATGTGTCCTGCAACAAATCAAACCATAAAGAAAACAACCATTATTTAATATCTATTCTTTGTATTGTTTCCCTCCCAAATTTTATTGCATATTATTGGCCTCCATTTGGAAAAAGCAGGGCTTTGAAATTTTAAGACCACATCACCAAATCAGCTTGGATTTTGAGTGTTAAAGGAGCATTAAATCTATGAGTGTAGAAAATTCAAGAAGCAATCTTGAGATCATCTACTCTTTCCATTTTTAGATGGAGAAATTGAAGCCTAACAGATTAAATCACATTCACAACTAGAGATAAGTAAAGAAATAGAACCCAGGTTTCCTGATTCCCCATATAGCACTATTTCTACTACTCCACATAGGTTAAGTAATATATTCTGAAAAATACATTGATTTAGCACCCTGTAGTGTAAGGTCTAAAATTAAAGACCAATGTTGGTCTTGAATGGCCTAACTACACATTCCTTTCCCTCTTCATTCCTGCAGATAAGATCCCCTAGCCAAACAATCCTCCTTCTTAACAAGACCAGCACAGTTACTATTTATCCCTGTTTAGTGGTCTCAGTTCCCTGCTGGCCCATGGAATCATTCAAACAAGACAATCACATTCTTCTGCAGGAACTGGGGCTCACTCTACCCTGTTGACACAAAGGCTGCCTCCCACAGTCCCTAGGTGTTCACTCTGTTCCTATGTTGCCCTGTGTTGCATAGTTTGTTCTCCCTTCTTGGTCTGTGATCAATGATTAATAAACTTCAGTCTACCTCACTTGTCCATTGGTGGGTATTATGTGTTTGACCATCCCCATAACCCTAGAGTGGGACTCTCTCCCTCACCAATAGGTTGAAGAGGAGGCAGTTAAGACACATCCTTGAACAGGCATGGTGGCACATGCCTGTAATTCCAGCTACTTGGGAGGCTTAGGTAGGACGATCGCTTGAGCCCAGGAGTTTGGGGCTAGAGTGAGCTTTGATCACAACACTGCACACTAGCCTGGGCAACAGAGTGAGACCCTATCTCTAAAAAGAATAATAATTATAAAAATAAATAAGTAAATAAAACATACTCCTGGACATGAATACTATAAATCTTTACAGAAAGGGAAAATAATTCTAATTTAGAATTAGGAGACCAGGTACAAGTCCTCGTTCTACCACATATTGGCTGCATTATCCTTGAGTAAGTCACAAAATCTCTCTGAATTTGTTTTCAGGTTTTTGGATGTCACATCTAGTATTCTTTCTATTATACCATATGGCTTGAAACAACAATAGAAATACCTGAAGTGCTAATCGAACTGTATGATTAGTATCATAAAACGATGAATGAAATAGTTAAATTTTTGGATTTTCATTTGTGATGCCCAGTGGTTCTCAAATTGAATGTTCAAATCCCAAGAAGATCATGGACATGTGTTTTTTTGTGGATAGGCACTTCCTCTCTACAAAATAAAACTGATTTACAAGATGAAGATCAAGGACTTTCTACAAGATGAAACAGATTTACCTTCATGGGCTTTTCTACAACTCTTCTCTCCTAGATTTTAAGATGAGTTTAATAAAAGTAGGTAAAATTACGGAGTTCTAAATAAATGATAATTTGATGGCAGATATGTGGGACATTTATTTATTTATTTATTTACTTATTTTTGTTTGATAAATGAAATACAGGTTGGAGACTTAAAGAACTAAAGGCCTAGTGATCTGAAATTTTACAAATGCAATCATTTGTGAAAATCATAAAAGTTAGTTTTATTCCATCATTCACGTTTCTCATCTCTTTTAAATAAAGCTACTATTAGCCAAAAATCTAGGACTCATTTCTAAAAACAGCTTATTGAGTATAATATACATACCATGAATTCACCTATTTTAAGTATATAGTTCAATTAATTTCCCAAAGGAAATTTATTTGTGCAATTTCACTACAATCCAGTTTTAGAAGACTTATCTGATTCCTCTCTGCCTGCATCAGTAAGCCCTATTGACTCTATCTCTGTATCTTTGGGTTTCCTGACTTACCTCCCTCTTCATGTCTACAACCCTAGCACAAGCCACCATGATGTCTCATTTAGATTACTCTCATAGCCACATAACTGTTTGTGCTGATTTCATTCTTACCCCCTTATAATCCATGCTTCTTTCAGCAGCTGTCTCTTAAAAGTGCAAATCAAATCAGTCACTTCCCTGCTTAAAACACACCAATGGCTTCTCACTGAATGCAAAACTTCTCCCTCTGACCTTTGATACTTTTGCAGAATCTGATCCCAGCCTAACCTCTCACCTCTTAACCACTTTTCTCCTTGCTTTTTATGGTCAAACCCCACAGATCTTGTTTATCTCCTGATTAAACACTGCCAAACTCTTTCCACCTCAAGACCTCTGTATTTGCTTTCCCCTGTGTCTGCTACTCTCTCCCAGATCTTTCCATGTCTATCTCCCCCACCTCCATTTTGTTACCCAGGTTTCTAATGTCTCTCACTCAGACTGGCCTTTCCCAATTCTCTAGCTATAAATTAACTTCTCCTGGTTATTGCCTATACTATTATCATTCATAACACTTATTCTTACCAATCCTAGCCTTCATTATCCGATAAGTTTTAACAAATTGTTTATTTGTTTATTATGTCTCTTCTGGTGAGAATATAAGTTTTGTGAAAGCAGGGACAATTTCTGTCTTCTTCTCCTATGTGTCCCTAGTGAACTGAAACAGTATGGAGTTCACAGTAGCTGCTCAAAAAGTATTTGTGAAGTGTGAAGTATTTGTGAAGTGAATTAATTAGTCAAAAGAACATAAACATCAGTCTGGGAGAGTTTGGAACAAAGTCAGGATTCCCCCAGAAACAGGTTTCCTAAGACGGAGAAAACACAAACAACTGGAATGGACGTATTACTGGAAGAGAGGAGAATCATCCCTCCATCCCTCCAGGTGGTTATTTATTTATTTGTTTGTTTTTGAGACGGGGTTTCACTCTTGTTGCCCAAGTTGGAGTGTGATGGTATGATCTTGGCTCACTGCCAAGCAATCTCCGCCTCCTGGGTTCAAGCGATTCTCCTGCCTCAGCCTCCCAAATAGCTGGGGTCACAGGCACATGTCACCACACCTGGCTAATTTTTTGTATTTTTAGTAGAATCACGGTCACCATGCTAGCTAGGCTGGTCTCGAACTCCTGACCTCAGGTGATCCATCCGCCTCTGCCTCCCAAAGTTCTGGGATTACAGGTGTTAGCCACTGCGCTCAGTCCCAGGTGGTTATTTTTACAATGGCCTTAATAAATAAATGAGATATCTATAGTGTGCTGCACCAAAGTTTGGAATCACTTATCCCACTTCTTCATCCTTGTTTCTACTTGTGATGTGGTTTGAATTTGTGTCCCTGCGCAAATATCATGTTGAATTAGAGGATCAGCCTGGTGGGAGGTGATTGGATCATGGGGCAGATTCCCAATTGCTGTTCTCATGAGTGAGTGAGTTCTCATGAGATCTGATGGTTTAAAAGTGTGTGGTACCTCCCCCTTAGTTCCCTCTCTCTCCTATTCTGCCATGGTAACAGAAGAGTTACCTGTTACCTCATGCCAAGGTGTTCCCCTTCACCTTCTGCCATGATTGTAAATTTCCTGAGGCCTCCCAGTCATGCATGCTTCCTGTGAAGCCTATAGAACTGTGGGTCAGCCGGGTGCGGTGGCTCATGCCTGTAATCCCAGCACTTTGGGAGGCCGAGGCGGGTGGATCATGAGGTCAGGAGATCAAGACCATCCTGGCTAGCATGATTAAACTCCGTCTCTACTAATACAAAAAAAAAAAAAAAAAAAAAAAAATTAGCCAGGTGTGGTGGCAGGCGCCTGTAGTCCCAGCTACTCGGGTGGCTGAGGCAGGAGAATGGCGTGAACCTGGGAGGCGGAGCTTGCAGTGCGACAAGACCCCCCCACTACACTCCAGCCTGGGCAACTGAGCAAGACTCCATCTCAGGGAAAAAAAAAAAAAAAAAAAAAGAACTGAATCAAGTAAATCTTTTCTCTTCATAAATTACCCAGTCTCAGGTAGTTATTTATAGCAGTGTGAAAACAGACTAATGCAACCTCTTTTTGCCATGTATCATTATTCCTATCATTTCATTCATTTTTTCTCCTCCTGAGCTTTCATTCTGCCCTTACCTCATACTGATCCTTTCTTCTGTCTCTCTCTAAACCATACTTTCCTCTCACATTCTCTCTTCTCTCAACTTTCTACTCCAGTTATCTTTATTTTCTCTTTGTTTTTATTCTCTCTCTTTGTATCTATTTAACTGAGATAATATATTTGAAAGTGTTCCTAAACTTCAACCTTCTATATAATGTTATTTCCTTACTTTATCTTTACTGATGTGGTTTGGTTCTGTGTCCCCAACCAAATCCCACCTTGAATTGTAATCCCCACATGTCAAGGGCGGGACCAGGTGGAGATAATTGGATCATAGGGGTGGTTTCCCTCCTGCTGCTTGGTGAAGAAGGTGCCTGCTTCTCTTTTGCCTTCTGTCATGATTATAAGTTTCCTGAGGCCTCCCCAGCAATGTGGAACTGTGTGTCAATTAAACATATTTCCTTTATAAATTACCCGGTCTTGGGTATTTCTTCATAGCAGTATGAGAACGGACTCATACACCTACTCTTAAACATTATACGCCATTTGTTCTTTAAGTCCTTATGGTATGTGTCTGCATTGTTCCTGTTCTCATGATAGTGAGCGAGTTCTCATGAGGTCTGATGGTTTAAAAATGTGTGGCATCTCCCCCTTTCCTCCCTCTCTCTCCTGCTCTGTCATGGTAAAATGTGCTTACTTTCCCTTCACCTTCTGCTATGATTGTAAGTATCCTAATATCTAATGTAATATGACTAAAATAAATCTACAGACTTCCCATCAATAAGACATACTTAACTTTTGTTTTCCATGTAATGGAGGTGAATCTCTGAGTTCTGTTCCCTTATAACAAATGGCACACATTGCAAGAGAGGTTACCAGATTCAAAATGTAATAATGCATTTGCAAGCAGAATAAAGCTAATTGGAATTAAACTCTTGGAAAGCAGGGAAGTTTTAAGGCTTTTCTAAAGACTTCAAGTCAATTTGAAACTATAAAATACTGTGTCTACATAACATAGTTTTAATAAACTCAACTCACTAAGGTATAAACTAAAAATATATTAATGTTCTAAAAGTCCAGTATTAAACAACAAATTACCGAATCAATCCTGTGTACCATATCGTATACTTGCAATGATTTATCCCATGTAACTCTCTCTCCAGTTTGGTAGAGGAAATCAGATAGTTTAGCTGCTGATTCTGGAATTATCCCTTCAACACGATATCTACAGTTAACAAAATCAAGAAAATCCAAAGCTTACAAAGTTTAGTCTAAGCTGAAAATATAATACTTTCAAAGCATAAAGGTAGGCTAATTTAGCAAACAGCAATGAAGAAAACTTGAAGGTACTATCAGCAATTCAATACATTAATATTCAATTGGAAGTAGCAAGGTTTATTTAAATATGCATTGCAATAAATACCTTATTTCAAAATTCATCTTTCTATAAGTAGGCTATTAGTTATTAAGTTTTTGGGGAGTCAAAAGTTACAATGGGAATTTTGCACGGTGGGTTGGCACCCCTAACTCCCACATTGTTCAAGGGTCAACTGTAATGCTTTATTGAAACACAGCCACACTCATTCATTTACATGTTAACTCTGGGTGCTCCTGTGCTATAATGACAGAGATGAGTAGTTGCAAGAGACCATATGAGTTGCAAAGCCTAAAGTATTTACTCTCTGTCCCTCTACTGAAAAACTTTGCCAACCCCTGATTTAGGGTGTCCACTCAGTGGCTAATCTTTCATTTTCCAGTCACTTTGTAAAGGTAAGAAAAGTACAAATTACAGTTATATTATATGGCTGTAAGGCAGAAATTATTTTTTTGTTCATGAACAATTAGAAGGTTAATAGCTGCATAAAACTAATAGCAACAAAGAAACAAAGAGGACCAGCCAGAAGTTTAACAGAGAGAAGCGGAGAACATACAGCTAAACTGACCCACTAAGAGCACACTCATCCCTGGGGTCTGGATGGCTGTGTTTATGCACAGGCTCTCCTACTCAGTACCAATCAGGATAAGATGTAATGCAGACTTGTAAGTATTCCCCAAGTCACATTCAGATTGATTAGCAAAGAGCTGATGCCTTACTGACTCAGGCACATAAGTATAGTACAACCTTTGATGCATCACTGACGGGAAAATAATCTATTCTATCCACTGTAAAATAAAATATACTCATAGCTGGGTCTAGAAGACTGTGTATGCTGAAGGCTGCACCCTCTGAGGAGAGACTGGTGACAAAACTTCCAAGCTACCAGTCTCTGGCTAAATCCAGAGCAAAACCACAAAACTCCCTGAATTACAAAAGCAGTCTTCAATCCACATACATATTTGACAGTAGAAGGTAAAAATTACCACAAAATGGCTTATGTTGACCAAGGAGTGATCCATGGGAAGCCAGGCTAAAAGATAACTGCAAGTAAAAAGTCAGAGCAGAGATATCAGAGGCTACAGGCTGTGGGGGAAACAGACTTCACAGAATTAGTCCAGTTAAATCACCAAACAGATAAACAAATGATCAAACTCATAACCACAAACCCAGGATGGGTGGATGGCGTCAGTATCCAGAGTTGCTACAATATTTTACCTAAAACGTTGTTTTCAACAAAAAACTGTGAGTCATGCAAAAAAACATGAAAAGCGCGACCTATACTTAGGAAAAACAGCAAACAGGAGAAACTACATTTTAGGGGGCCTTATCACATAAAGATGTTCGAATTATCATGTAAAAAAATTGGATGGGTGCGGTGGCTCACTCCTGTAATTCCAGCACTTTGGGAGGTCGAGGCAGGTGGATCATGAGGTCAAGAGATCGAGAGCATCCTGGCCAATATGGTGAAACCCTGTCTCTACTAAAAATACAAAAATTAGCTGGGTGTTCTGTCATGTTCCTGTAGTCTCAGCTACTTGAGAGGCTGAGGCAGAAGAATCGCTTGAACCCGGGAAGCAGAGGTTGCAGTGAGCTGAGATCACGCCACTGCACTCCAGCCTGGTGACAGAGTAAGACTCCATCTAAAAAAAAAAAACAAACTAAGAGCAATGATTGTAAATATGTTCAAAAAATAAAGGAAAGCAGGCAAAAAAAAAAAAAAAAAAAGAGAAAAATAAACAGTGCCTCAGAGAAATGTGATATGCCATTAAACACATCAACATACACATTTTGAGAGTACCAGAAGGAAAGAACAGACACTGCACTCCAGCCTGGATAAGAGAGTGAGACCCATCTCTAAAAACAAGAGAGGATAGAGAAAAAGAAAAATACGCACAAAAATAAAGAAATAAAATAATAACTAAAATTTCTACAAATTTGTAGGAAAACACTACATTCAAGAAGTTCATTGAATTCTAAGTAGTACAGGTGGAAAAACATCCACCTCCAGATATATCATAGTCAAAAACCTGAACATGAAAATAAAGTCTTGAAAGCAGTTAAAAAAAAAAAGGCATTACATAGAAGGGAACCATAATAAGACTGACAGCTGGCATGTCATTAGAAACAATGGAGGCCAGAAGGAAGTAAATGACATTTAAAGAGTTGAAGAAAAAAAGCTACCAAAAAAGAATTATATATCCAGCCAAGTTATCTTTCAAAAATAAAGGTTAAACAAAGACATTCTGAGATAAAGAAAAACTGAGAGAATTTATTGGTAGTAGTCCTGCCTTATAAAAAATACTAAAGGGAAGTTTTTCAGGCGAAAGGAAGAGACACAAAATAGTAATTCAAATCCTTACAAATAAAGAGTTACAGTAACAATAGTGTGTAGCTAATGTTACAAGACAGTATAATTAAATATTTCTTCCCCTTTCTTCTATTAACTGATTAAAGACAATTTCATAAAACAATAGCGATAACATTTCATTGGGCTTATAACATATAGATATAATTAACAATAAACACAACAGAGGGGGATGGAAATAAAGCTATATTTGAATAAAAAAATAACAGCAGATAGTAAGTCAAATCCATAGAAAGAAATGAAGAGAACCAGAAATGGTAAATAAGAAAGAACATATTTCTACAGTTATATTCCTATATAGATGTATTCTTACAGATATATATGTGTATTTAGATGGGTAAGACAGAAATATCTTTAATGATGTTTGTATTCTCCTATTAACTTCTTTAAAATATAATATATAAAGCAATAATTATAACAATATGGTATTTGTAACATATGTAGACATAATATGTACAACAAAAAACAGTACAAAATGTTGGGGAAGGGGCTGGAACTATATAGAAGTAAAGCTTTTATATCTTAGTGGAATTAAGTTTGTATACATCTGCAGTAGATTCTGATGAGTTAAAATATATATTGTAGCTCCTAGAGTTATTACTGAGAAAATAACCAAAAAATGTAGTTCAAAAAATTATTGGCCGGGCGCGGTGGCTCAAGCCTGTAATCCCAGCACTTTGGGAGGCTGAGACGGGCGGATCACGAGGTCAGGAGATCGAGACCATCCTGGCTAACACGGTGAAACCCCGTCTCTACTAAAAAATACAAAAAACTAGCCGGGCGAGGTGGCGGGCGCCTGTAGCCCCAGCTACTCGGGAGGCTGAGGCAGGAGAATGGCGTGAACCCAGGAGGCGGAGCTTGCAGTGAGCTGAGATCCGGCCACTGCACTCCAGCCTGGGCGACAGAGCGAGACTCCGTCTCAAAAAAAAAAAAAAAAAAAAATTATTAAAGGAATTAAAGATGTTACACTTGACAAAGCCTACTTAATACAAAAGAAGATAGTAAAAGAACAGAGGAACAAAATAGTCATGAGACATACAGAAAACAAAATAAATTTTTGAAATACAGGAAAAATGACAGACATAAATACAACCATATAACAATAACATTAGGTACGACTGGATATGACACACATAAATACAACCACATAACAATAACATTAGGTGTGACTGGATTAAACAAGCCAATCAGAAGGTAGAGATTGTAGACAGTTCAAGCCATTCTCCTGCCTCAGCCTCCCAAGTAGCTGGGACTACAGGCGCCCACCATCACGCCCGGCTAATTTTTTGTGTTTTTAGTAGAGACGGATTTCACCGTGTTAGCCAGGATGGTCTCGATCTCCGGACCTCATGATCCGCCCACCTCGGCCTCCTAAAGTGCTGGGATTACAGGTGTGAGCCACCGCGCCAGGCCCAGGTCATGTTCAATAGTGAACGAAACAATCAGAAGAAAATCAGCAAGAATATCGAAGACTTGAACAACACTAGATCTAAGAGACACCTATGGAATACTCCTAAAAATAGCGGAATACACATTCTTCTCCAGTGCATCTGGTACATTCTCCAAGAGAGACCATCACTCAGGCAATGAAACAAGTCTCAAATTCAAGGATTGAAATTTTACACAGTATTTTTTTCCATCACAGTGGAATTAAATTTTAACAACAGAAATTTGGGAAATTCACAAATATGTAGAAATTAAACAAAACATTCTTAAATAACCAATAAGTCAAAGAAGAAAAATTAAGTCAAAGAAAAATTAGAGAATAATTTGAGATAAATAAAAATGAAAACCCAGCATGCCAAAACTTACAGGATGCTGCAAAAGCAGTACTTACAGGAAAATTTTTAGTTGTAAATGTCTATTTTTTTTTTAAAAAAAAAAGAAGTTCTGAAATCAATAACCTAGCCTTTAATTTTAGGAAACTAGAAAAAGAAGAGCAACCTAAACCCAAAGCTAGCAGAAGGCAGGAAATAATAAGGATTACAGTAGAAAGTACTGAAATTGAGAATAGAAAAATAAGAAAATCAACAAAAACACAAGTTGTATCTCTGAAAAAGATAAACAGAATTGATAAATGTTTAGCTAGATGGACTAAGCAAAAAAAGAGAATAGACTCAACTAAAATCAAGACTGAAAGTGAGGACTACTGACCCTATACAAACAAAAAGGGTTGTAAGAGAATAATGATGTGTCAACAAATTAGATAGCTTAGATGAAAGGGACAACATCCTAGAAAAGCACAAATTACTGAAACTACTTTAAGAAGCAATAGAACATCTCAATTATCTATAACAAGACAGAGATTGAATTAGTAATCCAAATAATCCCCATAAAAAGAGCCCATGCTCAGATGGCTTCACCGATGAATCTGATCAAACATTTAAAGAAAAATTTTTACGTAAATTCTTCACAAACTATTTCAGAAAATAAAAGAGGAGGAAACATTTCCCAAACAAATTTTAGCTTGATATCAAAACCA